GGTCGGCAGTTCAAGCCCACCAGCCACTCCATGGGAGACCAATGACACGATCTGCTCCTGTAAAGATTTACAGCTGTGGAAACCTTATATAAGGTCTCTGCATCCAAGGGGTTCCTGCTGAACCGCTAGGTCAGTGGTTCAAGTTCACCACCTACTCCTTGGAAACTTCCCTATACAGGGTTGCTATGAGTTGGCACTGACTCGGCACTTAACAACGATGACAACATTCAGAATAAGGAGCCCAGTGGACTGAGCGTTGGGCCTGCTAACCACAAATTCGCCGGTTCAAACCCACCAGCCGCTCCTCGAGAGAAAGATGAGGCAGTTTGCCCCCATGAAGATTTACAGCCTCAGAAACCCTTAGGGGCACATCTCTGTCCTGTAGAGTCCTATGAGTCACTTGGATATTGTGGAGAACTACCCATGCATGGTGATGATTCAGAACAGATGGGCTTTTAGTGAATTTTTTGTTTCATTAGTGTTTTAGAATCATCCATCCCGTGTGGAGGATTCTAAAGTATAGGATTCTTTCACCATACTTCCTCAACCTGTATGCTGAGCAGATCATTCAAGAAGCTGGGTTCTGTGAAGAAAAACATGGCGTCAGGATTGGAGGAAGACTCATTAACAACCTGCGATATGCAGATGCTACAACCTTGCTTGCTGGAAGTGAAGAGGACTTGAAACATTTACTGATGAAGATCAAAGAGCACAGCCTTCGGTATGGATTACATCTCAATGTAAAGAAAACAAAAATCCTCACCACTGGACCAATAACATCATTCTTAACAACGGAGAAAATATTGAAGTTGTCAAGGACTTCATTTTTCTTGGATCAACCATCACCATTCATGGAAGCAGCAGTCAAGAAATCAAATGACGTATTACATTAGACTAAATCTGCTGCACAGGAACTTTTTAAAGTGTTGAAAAACAAAGATGTCAGCTTGAGGACTAAGGTGCACCTGACCCAAGCCATGGTATTTTCAATAACCTCATATGCATGTGAAAGCTGGACAGTGAATAAGGAAGATCGTAGAAGAATTGATGCTTTTGAGTTTTGGTGTTGGAGGAGAATATTGAAAGTATCATGGACTGCCAAAAGAACCAATAGATCCATTTTGGAAGAAGTGCAGCCAGAGTGCTCCTTGGAGGCCAGGATGGCCAAACTTCATCTGTCATACTTCAGACATATTGTCAGGAGGGACCAGTCTCTGGAGAAGGATATCATGTTTAAGGATAAGGATATCATGTAAGGTGGAAGGTCAGAGGAAAAGAGGAAGACCCCCAGTGAGATGGACTGGCAAAGTAGCAGCATCAGTGGGCTCAAGCGTGGCAACAGTTGTGAGGTTGGCCCGGGACCGGGCAGTGTTTCATTCTGTTGTGCATAGGGTTACATTGCCCTTTCAAATATCACATAGCTGTGTATGCACTTATGGTGTTTTTACGGTATTGTTTTAAAGTGGAAAGGGCTTCCTGTCTAGCTCTCACTTACTGGATCCTGATGTGACTGAGAAATGACTAATGGGGATTACAAGCTCCAAAGAGGGGTTCCTGGTACCAAACGTTAATGTGCTCGGCTGGTCACTGAGAGTCTGGCAGTTCATATCTACTAGAGGTGCTTCGGAAGAAAGACCTGGCAATGTACTAATGAAAAAACTCATCCCTTGCAAACCTGGAGCACAATTCTTCTCTGACACACATGAGCTTGCCATGAGTTGGAATTCACTGGACAGCAAGTTGGAAATGGACATCCGTCCGCTGTGGCAGGGGAGGAGGTCCACAGAGAAAGGGGGTGTGGTGGTGAGCAGCCCTGAGAGACAAGGCACTTTATAGCCTGTGTTCCTTCAGTTCTTCAGAGACAGAGAGAGAGAGAGACATGCAGACACACAGACATGCAGCCACACACACAGACAGACAGACATGCAGAAACACATAGACACACACACACAAATATATGTAGCACACACACAGACATAGACATACATGCAAACACAAAGACACACACATACAGACATACACACACCCCTTATGTACTATAGGGGAGCTTGTTCTTGGGCAGGAGTTCCTGGGCTGCTCATTGAAAGTTGAGAAGTTGAAGTCCATTCAGAGGCACCTTGGAAGTAAGGCCTGGCCATCGTCCTCAGAATCAGCCTGCCGAGTCGCTCTACGCTAACTCCCATGGGATCGCCATGCATTAGCTCTGATTCACGCTGCTACTGTGGGTTTCGGTTGCTTAGCATTGGACGCAGCGTCCTGGCAGTTTCGCTCTACTAGCGTACAGTGAAGAGTGGCACAGTGCTTAAGCACTGAGCTGCTAACTGAAAGGTCAGTTGTTCGAACCCATCCAGTGACTCTGAAGGAGAACATACCTGATAGTGTGCTCCCGTAAAGATTTCAGTCTGGAAAACTCGGCATTTCTCTTCTGTCACGTAGGGGGGGTCTGCTACGAGTTGAAATAGACTTGACGGTATCCAAGAACAGCCAGGCACCCCCCCCCCCAGAGTTGGGCCTCATTGTTTATATCTGTGCCCTGTGTTCGGCGCTCATGAGGTGCCCGTCACGCTGCTGAGTGATGCTGAATGTATCCTGATGTTTCTGACAGCTCATGTGTGACAAGAATAGGATCCATATTTCTTGGAGCTGCGAATCCAAGCACCTTATTTCCCAATAGTGCTGAGAGAGCGATATCTCTTGTGTCACCGCCGGGGAGATGGTGATGGTGACGTATTACTCATGGGTCACTAGCCGAGTCTAAAACCGTAGGTTGGAACAGAGTTGCAAAGGTTAATTGGGTTTGTCCATCAAGGTGGGGGCAGATATAGGAGGCCCGGCTACTGCCCGTCCTCAAATCAAAGCTGCTACTCATCTTGGCTTCCCGTTCTCAAACCATCAAAAAAAATAAAAACAAATTGCCAGTATGCTTGAGAAGCAGGGGAAAGGTGAGGATTTGTTCAAAGCCCAAAGCATGGAAAAGGTTTTTCTAATAAGCAGGTATCTTCGTTTAAAACCAGGAAGGTGGTTCGATTCCATAGACTGAATAGCCAGCCCTTCACAGACGGACTTGCCCTGGGTTCTGCCTTTGCTGCTCAGTCTCTGTGTGACCGGAACTGATGTGCAGTTTGCCTCAGTAGCTTCTTTGGAGTTGCTGGGTTTTGTGCTAACGAGGCGTCACTGCAGTATCTCTCCAGGCCCCTGTAGTGTTGCCAGTATACGTGCATTTTCTTCCTTGGGAGTGCATTTGTCCGAGAGCCAGTGGGCAATGTGTTCTTGGGGAAATGACGTTGAGAATGTCGCCGTTGCTCCTTCTGTAAGGCTCCTGCACACACCTCACTGCTGTGGTTCTGCTTAGCTGTCACTAAGTGGGCCCCATCCATGGACTTCAGGACGGGACATTGCTGGCCATCCTCACATTTCTTTGTGTGTTTGAATCTGTCATTGTAGGCACTGTGCCAGTCTATCTCATACAGGGTCTCCCTTACCTTCGCTGGTCCTTTACTATTCCAGACGTGACGTCTTTCTCTGGTGATCTGTCCCTCCTGAGGATACATTAAAAAGGAAATGAGTTGAAATCTCAAACTGTATTGTGATCCCTGGGGTTTCTGTTGGTTAATTTTCCAGAAATAGATTATTGCCAGCCCTTTGTTCCTGGTCTGTATACTGAAACTTGTCCATCATGGTGATCATGCAGTATTTGAAATACCGGTGGTATTTCACAGTATCACAACAATACACATACCAGCACAGTGCCACGCGCTGACAGGCGGGGCGGTTGGGTACATCTTGTTACTAGAACCCAAGTTGCTTCGGAACTCCTGTGATAAGAAAGTTTGGGAAGTGGAGGTCCCAGGCTTCTGCCCATTGCTCCAGGGATGAGCAGAGAAGGGGCAGAATGGACAGTACGTGACATGCCCAGTCTTCAAAGTGGCATCTTTGCTCTTCAACACTTTAACGAGGTTTTTTGCAACAGATTTGCCCAATGCAATACATCCTTTGGTTTTTTGCCTGCTGTTTTCCATGAATGTTGATGGAGCCGAGCAGAATGAAGTCTTTGACAATGTCAGTCTGTTCTTCATTGATCATGATGATGTTGCTTATGGGTCCAGTTGTGAGGATTTTTGCTTTTATGTTGAGGTGACATCCATGCTGCAGACTGTATGTGTTGGTTCTCCTCTGTCTGATTGTACTTGTTAATCAAGCGTCATATAATTGGAGCTGTAGGATAAGCACTCGACCTCAAGGTCGGTTTGAACTGCAAGGTTGGCAGTTGAAAGTCACCAGCCACTCCTCCGAAACCCTTTACAGGATCGCTGTGAGTCAGAACTGACTCGATGGCACTTAACAACAACAATATAAGTGGAGGGACTATTAAGGGTGCTGTGCCAAGCACTCTGAGATAGAAAAGATACCTTTAGGCATATCCGTTCTAGGATCTCCAGAAGCGGGGTACTGGAAGGTGAGGCTGAGGAAGACATTCAGCCTTGCATGTCAACAATGAATGCTGCTGTTATCGGGACTGACTGTGAGGTTTGGAAATGTAAAGGTAGATGTTTTTGTAGCAAAAGGAGGGGAGTGATTGACTTTGCAGTCTAGGAGCGGAGGTCCCTAGGACCTTCAAGGGAGAAGAATGGAGAGTGGGACCCTACCCAGAGAAGCAGTGATGCCTGAGATGGAGGCAGAGACAATGATGTGGAGAGATGGAGCAGTTAGGGACTTTAGACCCAGAGAGGGAGAGGGGCTGTGTGCTGATGACCGGGGTGCAGGCGTGCAGGGTATATATACCCTTTGGTTGTTTGATGATACATGGAGGGAATTATAACTATGGCAATGAAACGATATACGATAGGCTGAATATAAAAGTAATGTTCTCCCATGTAAACTATCACGTGATTCACATTAAAACATTAAAAAGAAACAAAGAATGAATGAATGCTACGATTCTTGTAGTAGCCATGCAAGGCAATGTTGGGTTCATGGCGGTCCTCTGTCTTCTTTAGCAGATGAAGAACTTAGAGAGCCGCCACACCATGAGTTCACAGTACAGGATGCATTCCTACTACCCACCTCCTTCGTACCTGGGCCAGAGTGTCTCTCAGATCTTCACCTTTGAAGACGGCTCTTCCTACTCAGAAGCAAAAGCCAGCGGTAAGTGGTGGGTCCCCAGACTGGGTTTGGGGTGGGGCGAGGCTGAGACTCTGCACCTGAGCCGCTAGCAGCTGCAAAGTATTTTGCTGTGAGAAAATTCAGAGCATCATGGGCACTATTTAGCCACCGGATGATGCTCTACCTGAGAGTTCCTGTCATAGTTTGTCTTTCTGGAGACCAGGGGTGACAGTCATAAGTTGGCACCCCATAAAAAGCTGTAAAACATTTTCTGAAAGGATCGTTCTGAGATACAGGGACACTTTAGACATCATGGTGGTCATGATTTTGTTTTATTTTAAACTAGAAAGTGTATCCATCTTTCGGGAAAGGGTCCAGTAATTACCAATGGTGAATCGACTCAGCTTTCTAACAGTTGAGCCCATGTAGATGTGCCTTGGATGAAAGTCCTGGAGATCTGCTTCTGAAAAATCAGCCGCTAAAAATCCCATGGAGCACAGTTCTCCTCTGGCACACATGGGGGCGCTGTGAGTTGGAACTGGTTTTTAGCATTCTGGAGCCTTTCTGAATAGAACAGATTCCAGTAGCAATACAAGTAACTCTGTAGTTGTTCAGTGTTGTCGAGTTGGTTCCAACTCATAATGACCCTGCATAGGGTTACCGAGGACTAGCTGGTGGGTTTGAACCAACAACCTTGTTCAAAGCGAGAGAGAAAGAAAGACCTGGTGATCTGCACAAGTCTGTTCCGCCTGTGGGGTTGGGATGAGTTGGAATGGACTTGGTGGTACTTTACAGCCACACATGAGTCCTGTGTGGCACTGTGGGTTAATGTGCTGGACTGTAAGGTCGGTTTGAACCTTAAGGTTGGTGGTTCAAGGCCACCAGCTGCTCCTAGGAAACCCTATACAGGGTTGCTATGGATAGGAACTGATAACACTTAACAACAACACCCAACACCCAGGGTTTAAGCCTGAGACCTCCTTAAACTCCATACTTTCAAACATCTGTAACACAGAAAAGTTTGAAGTAATCCTAGTTATTACCGATTTCTTCCCATCTTCCCTTGTGCACATTACAGCAACGGGTCTCTCCTTTCCTGAGCCCCCCTAACTTCCTTCTCTTTGAGTCTCCTCCTTTTCTGCCATAAATCCAAACGCCTGCCACACTTCTCTAAACCAGCTCCAATAAATTTCTGCTTCTTCTTGCTTCTCACTGTTGGCGCTCCGAATTTACACCTTTGTCTCAAGAATGCTAGGGTCCTGACAAATCGTGCATGATTTCTGGAGTAAGAAGCTCAGGTACTGTCTTCATGCAGGTGTGGTCACTGCTGATCCTCCAAAGCTACTCCTTCCCCAAGGGCACACAAGCTCCACAGCAGACAAAGGAGGAATTAAGGACTCTCCTGTTCAGCTTCCTTCCTTAGCACAGGGCAAGCTTGATTCGGGTTCCAACTCAGGGTTTGGATGTGGGCTTTAACTTGTTTTTAATCAAAACTTTGATTCATTTATTTAAATGGTTAATAGAAATATTTTGCCAACTAAACATCTTGACAAGGTCAGTACTTGCTGGCGAAGCCATCACCAGTCAGCACCAGTAATTTGTTAGGTAAAAACGCTTTCCATTTTTCAATTTAAAGATGACAAAAGAAAGAAGTAGAATGTTCAATCAAAAACTATATAAATAAAAGACTGCATGTCATTCATGCATTCATTCAGCAACAAGTGTTAATAAGTCAAAGATGTCACAGCAGGTAAAATGGGGACGTACCCAGTGTCCTTCAGGGGCCTACTATCTAGAGAAATAGCTAGAAATAGAGGCACTATGGCAGAGGAACAATGGGAGTTTCACTCATTAGTGGTGACGATGGCTCAGTCTTTCAGCTGCTAATGAAAGGGTGCAGGTTCAAGTTCATCTAAAAGTGGGTTGGAAGAAAGACTTGAAGATCTCCTGAAAAGTCAGCCACTGAAAACCTCACAAATCACAGCTCTGTTCTGACACACACGGAGCAACTGGTATATGGTATGAATACTAATGAGGGCAAGTCAAAAAGTATTGCTACAAACTCATAGAAACTTTTAGTAAACAAAAGTATCACAACGGAAAACCATAGTTTCTCAACATCTCCAACTAGGTCTAGAAACCTCCGAAGGTGGTCCTTCTATCTCTAACCCTTCTCTAAAGAACTTGCATTTTTCCATTTGTTGTTGTTGTTGTTAAGTACCATCGAGTCAGTTCCGACCCATAGCGACCCTGAACCAGGGTTTCCTAGGCTGTAAATATTTACGGGAGCAGAAAACCTCATCTTTCTCCCACGGAGCACCTGGTAGTTTCGAACTGCTGACCTTGCGGTTCGCAGCCTAATTCGTAACCACTACGCTACCAGAGCCATTTGTTGTTAAGGGTCATGAAGTCGTTCCCACAGTCACCCTGGATGAAGGGACAGCTGGTGAGTTTGAGTCACTGACCTTGCAGGACCACACCAGGACTCCCTGCATTTCTGCCATGACAAATGGCAGTTTTTGCATCCTTGGGGGCCTCAGATTGTGTTTTTATAGAAATTTTGAGTGTGGGGAACAAAACAAAAGTGTGAAGAGAAAAGATCTGGGCTGTAGGGTCAATGGGGTGAGGTTTCCCAATGAAATTCTCATAGGACAGCTCTTGAGCCCTCACGGAGTGAGTAGGCGCAGGCGCAGGTGCATTGTTGTGGTACAAAAAATATTCCAAGATACTGGTTTGGAATTCTGAAACTTCATCAGCATAACCACCTGTGGCGAGCTCTTTGGCTTCAACTTGACTGACCCAGCAGATGCCCTTGGAAGACACTGTTCAGATGGGACCTTTATTTGAAGGCATCCTCACGAGACAAGATAAGTGTGTTCCGAAGAGAACTTGTCTGCAGTCATCCACTGATCAAAGAGACAGTGTCTTGGAATAAGCCTGCGCATATTTGAACTGTAACCTCGTAGCAACATCTTTTGACTTTCCCAGATGTAAGCTACTCATTCTGGTCCGTTCCCAACAGCAAGTGAGTACAGATGAAACTCGACTTCGGTCTCTGTCCAGTTCAAACCAGTCAGTTCCTTGGCGCATGGAAGCAGTTGATTTATTTTAGTGTGAAGCCACCTAAGTCTTGGTGTGGTGCCGTAGAAGAAGCACTGGGCCACAAGGTCAGTTTGACCTGTAAGTCTCCAGAAGCTCCTCGGAAACCCTATACAGGTGTCTGAGCTGGAGACTCAAAGGCACTTAACAACAACAACAACAGGAAACCCTACGGGGCAGTTTGACTGTAAGTTGGGATTGAATCCATAGCACCCAACAACAATAAAGCTTTCTAAGACTTCATGGTTCTGGATTTGGAAATCAAAGCGTGGTTCCATTCAAACCACTTGGTCCGCAGGCACTCAAAGATAAAAAATAGAAGAGAAACCTGTTGCGGTCCAAATTGGTCCAATCTGTTCGGGCTTAGAGTGCCTTAAGGCTTTCTGGAGATGACATTTGCACCAAAAGAAGAAAGATGCGAGTGTCCTGCCCAGACTCTGCCCCCTGTTCCCTTTCGAGCGGGGTGCAAGGAGCTGGACACGCCAAGGGCTGTTTTAGTTGAGCTTGCGTTCTGCCCTGAATTGTCTGGCTGGTTCCTTAACTTTCTTGCCCTAAGGAAAGCAGGACGCATTTTATGCAGTGTTTAGAAAATGTAGTTTCTGAGTTTCAGAGGAATGAGCTCTAGTGCACAGCCTCTCGTCCTCATGGGACCTTTTTATTCTCAGCCTTGTCTTTGAGCCAAGACGTCTGAGGTCATTGGGTGGCAGTGACATGGAGACCAGAGTGTAGACTGGGGATGAGGCTCTCGCTGGGAGAGAGGACTGGCTCAGCACCTCCCCACCACAGTCAGAGAATGTCGGGGTTCTTCCACTCTCACCTGAAAAGGTGGGATAAAGAGGAACGGTTTTGTCAACATTCATACATGAATCAGGTAGAAAATGGGAACAAGCATGGATGGCATTGAACGCTTCTCCTCCAAAACCTGCCGACACCGCTCAAGTCTGTTTGAGGGAGTCCCTGGTGTGGGGGCTGCACAAGTAAGCATGATGGATGTTGTGGTGGTTATCTGCCATTGAGTTGATCCCCGACTCGGGCAACCTCACGCACAGCTGACTAAAGACCCTACGCACCCCGCCCTACCACCACCACCCAGGTGTAGGTGGGACTGCTGTGATCCACAGGGTTTCCATTGGCTGGTTTTGGGAAGTCGATCACCAGGCCTTTCTTCCTAATCTTAGGCCTGAAGCTCCACTGAAACAGTGTCAGCATCCTAGCAACACGCAGACCTGCACTGACCGATGGGTAGTGGCTGTACGTGACGTGAGCCGGCTGGGAATGCAACCTGGGTCTTCTGCATGTTGTTATTGGTGCCACTGAGTCAGTACTGACCCACAGTGACCTTATGCACAACCAAACAAAACACTGCCCGGTCCTGGGCCAAACTCACAATTGTTCAGTTGCTGCCACTGTGTCATTCCGTCTCGCTGGGGGTCTCCCTCTTTTTCACTGACCCTCCTCTTTACCAAACATGAAGTCCTTCTCCAGGCACTGGTCCCTCCTGATAATATGTCTGAAGTATGAGAGATGAAGTCGACCATCCTGCCTTCTGAGGAACATTCTGGCCGCACTTGTGCCAACACAAATTGGGTTGTTCTTCTGGCGGTCCGTGGTACTTTTCATATTCTCCAACACCATAACTCAAATGCATGGAGAAGTGGGGGAGCTCTACCACTGAGCCCCTGTGTCCTCATGAAGACGTATTGAACATCATTTACAAGACTTATTCTTAATATTAGGATCTGTGGTGATGCTTATGAAGTGTTTGGTTTGTTAACCAAAAGGTCACTGGTTAGAACCCACCAGCTACTCTGTGGGAGAGAAGTGTGGCCATCTGCTTCTGCAAAGACCAACCGTCTTAGAGACCCTCTGAGGCAGTGGTGCTGTGCCTTTTAGGGTCTCTGTGGGTCAGAAGCAACTCCGCAGCGTCAGGCTTGGTTTGGGTG